ATATTTTGTACAGCAGGGAAGCAAATGGAAAGCAACCGGAGAGAGAAAGTTTTGGAGAGCAAAAATTGCTCATGGGCAAATCTAAATGTGTGGGTCCCACCAGTGTACTAGAAATCAAAAAAAATAATTAAAAGCACAGCACGGTCTCACCAGTGTACTAGAAATAAAAAAAAAAGTAAAAGAAAAGCACGGTCCACCAGTGTACTAAAATAAATATTATTTAATTTATTATTTTGGCCCATAATTGACTGAAATTGATATTTAATTTTTATATCAATATTTTTCATTTTTCGAGCTCTATAAATAGAGCTTAAGTTTGTGTCATTTGGACAACAAAAAAAATTCGAGTTTTTACACCCTATTTTCATTATTTTTTAGAATCTTCATCCTTCTTCATGGATCCTTCACAAAATTTTAATTTTTCCATGAACTACAACTTTCCCAACCAACCCCAGAATTCGAATATGCAACCTCAAAATCCAAATATGCAACGCCCGGAAAGTACTCAGAATATGGGGCTGCACCCCAATTTTCCAATGCCGTATATGATGCCACAAAATTTTGGCATGCAATACCCATACAACCATCCTTATATGCCATATGGCTATCCACCAGTCACTGGAAATAGCTATGTTCCAGGCCACATGAATGATCCAAGCACAGATCCGACTATTGATCCAAACACACCCCGTTTCAGTAGCGGATCGACTGATATTCCAGAATTTTCCACCCAGATTTCGTTGGAAACTGCTGGAGGGGATACTCCCCATAGTTTTCTACCACCAACTCAACAATCAGCCAAGAGAACAAGTTACGATACTTGGAGCACCGAGGAGAACAAAATCTTACTAACGGCTTATTTTCATGTTAGCAATGACAGTGAATTGGGGATAAATCAAAAGGGCGATACTTTCTGGGGTAAAATTACAGACTATGTGAACGAGCGCACACAAAGTGGGAAACAGAGGACTTCAGGGCGGTGTTCTGCTCATTTTCGACATTTGAATAAAAAGATAAGCAGCTTTGTTGGTTGTTATCGTGGTGCATGCAAGGAGAGGCGAAGCGGTTGGTCCGATGAGAATTACATATCCAAGGCTGTAGAGTTGTACCAAGAGAATGAAAATGCGAGGTTTACGTTGTTGGATGAGTGGAAGCTAGTTCGTCATCAACCAAAATATATGACAGGAGCAAATGAATCTGGCAGTAGTGGATCTAAAAGAAAAAGTAGTGGTGAGGACGTTGAATCTCCTTTCCCCTCACTTGTACGTCCAGAGGGGAGAGATGCATCGAAGAAGAAATCTAAAGCTTCCTCAAGTAAAGCATCCACTTCTAGAAAAGCAAAATTCTCCATTGAAGAGGAGTTGTCGAAATTAACCTCTAAGAATGACAACATTGAACAGAACATGGCTAATACTGTTTCCGCCATGCTGGAGTTTGCTGCAGGTCAGAAGGAAGTTGCACGTATTGAGAAGATGAAAATGTGGATGATCTTGAAGAACAAAGAAGATCGGGATGATGAAGATGAATATGCATATAGGATGTTGAAGAAGGAGTTGTTTGAAGAAAAATTTGCATAATCTGTGTTGCACTATTGTTTCAATTATTGTAATGTGTGTTTCATGCTTCTGAAATTGAACGTGACTATTCCACCCACTAACTTCTGACATTGAATGTGACTTGTCCATCCACTATACTACAAAAATTGAACGTGACTATTCCACCCACTAACTTCTGACATTGAATGTGACTTGTCCATCCACTATACTACAAAAATTGAACGTGACTATTCCACCCACTAACTTCTGACATTGAATGTGACTTGTCCATCCACTATACTACAAAAATTGAACGTGACTATTCCACCCACTAACTTCTGACATTGAATGTGACTTGTCCATCCACTACCCACTAACTTCCGACATCAACATGTGAATTTACATTATTGGATACCCAATCTTTACATTCAATATTGTTAAATAAAATGATTGAATCCGGAGGTCATTCATTATAAATAGGAAACCACACATCATATGAAAACCACTCATTATCAACACTTATCCACCAATGGATCTACCCCCAAATGACTTCAATTTCGAAGAGTACTTTCGACAACAGTTCGAGATGCAAAAAGCCATACTCGAAAGGCAGAAAAAACTTCTTGAAGAGTTGCAAAGTAGAAACGAGCAACCGCGTAAGAGAAACTCCATATATAGGAATCATGAAGCTGCTCATCAGAGGCTCATGGCAGACTACTTTGATGAGTCCTGCACATACACTGATATGCAGTTCCGACGAAGGTATCGAATGAAAAGGCCTTTGTTTCTACGAATTGTAGACTCTTTGTCAAACTACGACAACTACTTCACACAAAGGCGCAATAATGCAGGAAAGCTTGGTTTGACGCCTATCCAGAAGTGTACAGCTGCCATACGCATGCTCGCATATGGAGTTGCAGCAGATGCTTGTGATGAGTACGTCAAGATAGGGGAAACAACTGCACTTGAGTGTACTAGAAATTTTTGTGACGGAGTAATTGCCTTGTTTGAAGATGAATACTTGAGACGACCAAATGTGGAAGACTTGCAGAGGTTACTCAAAGTTGATCAGGAGCGTGGTTTCCCTGGTATGATTGGAAGTATCGATTGCATGCATTGGCAGTGGAAGAATTGTCCTAAGGCTTGGCAATGGCAATTTACTAGTGGACACAAGGGCACCGCTACTGTTATCCTTGAAGCAGTTGCGTCATATGATTTGTGGATATGGCATGCTTTCTTTGGTTTACCTGGTACGTTAAATGACATAAATGTACTAGATAGGTCACCGGTATTTGACGATATTGTGTTCGGTGAAGCTCCGCGGGTGAACTACATAGTGAATGGCCGGGAATACAATCTTGCATACTATCTTGCTGATGGAATCTATCCCAAATGGCCTGTCTTCGTCCAGTCAATTCAAATGCCCCAAGGGAACAAAGCACAATTGTTTGCCAAACAACAAGAATCATGCAGGAAAGACGTGGAACGTGCATTTGGGGTTCTCCAAGCACGTTTCGCTATTATTCGTCAACCAGCTAGAATGTGGGATCTTGAAGTCTTGGGTAAAATAATGAGGGCGTGCATTATTTTACATAATATGATAGTAGAGGATGAACGGGAAACGTATTCACGGAACTGGGAGAATCTGGACTTCGAACAGCCTAACAATGGTGCCTCTAGCTCTTCTTTCAATGCTCAAACGCAAGTGTTACCCGAGTTTGAAGTGCATGTTCAAGGCCGATCCGAATCAGACATTCACACCAGGGGCGAACTTCGTGATAGGGCCCAACATATTCAGTTGAAGAGGGATCTCGTTGAGCACATTTGGCAGAAATTTGGAACGACCCTCGATTAGACTCAAAGTTTTTCCTAATTTTCTAATGTTTAGTGTGTTTTTTTGTGGTACGTTTCAATAATTTATGTGTGTTGAGTTGGTTTGATGAATAATAATATCGTGTGTTGTGTTGTTTTTTTAAGTAATTTTAATTTAAATTAATGTCATTTAAAAAAATTATATATTATTAATTGCAAAATTAATGCCATTTTTAAATATATATATTTTTTATAAAACATATGTTAAATAAATAAATATGAATACAAAATAAATAAATACGGTGGGTATATGATATAGTGATGTGGATGAAAGAGAAAATATGGTGGGGTATAGATAAAGTAAAAAAGTACATATTTGCCTTCCTGCTGTGGAGCTGAAATAAAAGAGGGTGCTAAATATTTAATTGGTGGGGACAAAAGCTGAGGTGGAGAGCAATATTTGCCCTCCTGCTGCTGATGGTCTAAAGAATGAGATTGAGAATTTGAGCACACGTCCTTAAAACCCTCGAATTTTTAAACCTACACCTCCCTCTAAAACCTGAAAAAATGCCGCTCCCTAAACCCCACTTCTCCTCTCGCTCTTTCTCCACTTCCCTACTCGACCCTGACTTCCTTCTCCGCCTCTCCACAGTCCTCTACCAACAACAAACCTCCCCACTTCCCAAACTCCAAACTCACCTTCAGAAACTCAACTTCACCCCAACCCACGAGCTCTTCCTTCGGCTTTGCAACAACTTCCCCTTCTCATGGCGCCCCGTCCACAACTTTCTCCTCCATTAATGCCCTTAGGTTTAATTTTTTGACACTTTGATATCCAACGCATTACGACGTCAAAGTTAAAAAAGTATATAAACTTTAAGGTATCAAAGTTAAAAAGATGTGGAACCTTTGAGATATGAACATAAAAAAAGTGTGAACTTTAGGGCACCAAAGTGTCAAACAATCTTAGGGAGTCGAAGTCAAGAAAAGTGTAAATGTTGGGGCATTAAGGTGTTAAAAAAAATAACTGAGTTATCAAAACTTAAAAAGGTGTAAACTTTAAAGTAAATTGCAAATAACCCTTAAACAAAGCCGATTAAATTTTGGTCAACAGGGACTAAATTGTGATAACCACAATGTTTAAGGGACTATGAGTAACTTCATAGATACGAGGAGCTAATATGGGATTATGGAATATTATCTAAATATTCCTCGTGCAAAATGCTAGCAGTTGGCATTTCTTTTTTAATATTCACACAATACAATACGTTACTCCAAAAGACGCGGGGGCTCAAACAACCCGTCATCCATTAAAACATCAGTTCCAATTTTCTTTCCCTCGTAGTTTCAAGAAATGGGGATCTCTCTCCTTCTCGCTTCTCTCTTTACATCTTTGATCCTCTCGCGATCTGCCGCCGATGAGAAATTCGACGTCCGCCAACATCTCGCCACCGTCACCAGGTTCTCTCTCTCTCTTTCGGTTGATTTTCGTTAGGGTTTCAATTTTTTCAGACGCGATGACCAATTGTATGCATTTTTACCGATTTGAGACGAATTATATAACGAGCTGATCTTTTCTCGTGCCCTAATTGGGTATTTCGAGGTTGTTTTGATGGTTAGTGAGCGACAATTGCCTGCTTGAAACCGAGCTTTTGATCTTCTGGAGGAGCAAATATACATAGAATTTAAGTGCATTGTAGATTGGCGTCATTAAATTTTTTTGTCAGAATAAGGATGATTTTGGTGTCACGAGCTAATTCTACCCTAAACTCAGAAGCATGTGTAATTTGTTCGGAAATGGCAGTTCAACCATTGGAGCTGAAATGTAGTGTTATCAAGTTATTGGCACAGAATAAGGAGGGCTTGGGCTTTGTTGGAATATTAAGTTATAACCCTCAACTTTTCACCACAACTTCAGATATTTATGGAAAAGAAAAGGTACCACGATGCAAAATATGCCAGGTTTTGGCCCGAAAAGGGCGATCAACTTGTGGGTACAAATTAGAATGTTCCCTCAACCCTTGCTACAACTACGGAGGTTTTTAGTTGTTGTGGAAGGGTCCTTTAGATAACTCCACTCTACCTAAGCTATCCAAAAATGAGTGATTGAAATTTATCTTTATTCACCAAGCATCCAAATTGACTTTGGGTAAGATGTGGGTTTTCTCTAATGAAACTATTTAACGCTGATTCATACTTGGAGTTGAGGAGTATAGAACTCTTGGAGTATCGAATTCTTTTTCTCTTTGCATTGACTGGTAAACTCAATAGTCTAGTAGCAACTTCCATGGCCTTCTGAGGAGACCATGGCATAGCTTCACCCTGCGTCACCAATTTTTGCAATTTAACATCATAAATGAAGTAGTTATCATGTCTTAGTAGAACCCAAAAGCTTTTTCTTAATTCATTTTTCCTTTTGTGTTTTCTTTTCGTCGGATGGATGGTATGTTGTGAGATGAATGGTGCAATAGTCAGTAGTTAAAGGATTTTTTCTTAAGGCAATGGGCAAAGGTCCTCTGAGCAGGCAGAAATTTCTCCTACTGTATGAACTATTTATTTATTTTTTATTAAGCTACCTTATTAAAGGAGGAAAGGTTATACTTTCTTGTTCATGGGTATCTACTCCTTAAATAAAAATTTGAACAACTTATGCATTTGTGTAGTGTGAAGTGCACTTAGCTGCTTGTCCTTCCAGTGAGTTACATTCCTACAAATAGAGTCAGATCACTCTTCTCTCCTTTTTTTCTTCCCCTCCTAATGGTGTGTTATACATTCAACTCCACTGCAGATATGGTGTAGCACAGGATTCTAATACTGATTCTTTTGTGCCTTCTGTTATTCCTGATGGATGCAGCGCAATCCACCTAAATCTTCTGGTAGTTTCTTATTAATATTTCATCTTACGATTTTGTTTGCGCATACTTGTTTTTATCGCCGGTGAGATGTTGCTTCCCTTATGCGAATACAATGAACCATTACACACCTGCACGCGTCTACACCCATTTCGCTTTGCTACATATACTTTATGCATACACAAGTCCACTAGCACTAGTAAATATATCTTTTAATTTCCCACAATTTTTTTCATGCAGGTTTGGTTTGCTTTAACAGTTGTCAAAGCAAGAAAAAGATTGGCCAAACATGATTTATTAGGCTGAGTCAATGAGGCGTTGTGTGTATAGTTATAGAGCATGGTTATATTATTCTCATTTATTGATGTAAGATTTTTTAGGACAGGAAATGCTTCACACTTATTTACTTGTTCTTGTAGATTTACCTGTGGATCTTTATTTCTGCTTATGCTTATATATGCAGAAACATGTATAAACATACTCATGTGTCTATATAGTGCACACTCACACACATCCTTGGAGTGACTAAAATTCTTTTGCACTCTCTCTTGCAGTAAATATATTAGAGATCACATACACCTCAGGAAGTTGTATCATGTTAATGGAACAACTAAGGTAATGCACTCAGTGTATGCTTCTAATTACTAAATAAAAAAAGACGTTAGCATTGAGATGGAATAAGAAAGTTCTTATGAAGGATCATGAGAATGAACCCATGTCTAATTGATGAGATGTTGACCATTGTTTAAGTCTAAGTTTTAAGTTTCAGGCAAACACAGTAAAGTCTTCCTTCGACTAATCTCATCCTAGAAGTGTCGGAAAGTGAAGAGCAGTTTCAGGCAAACACAGTAAAGTCTTCCTTCGACTAATCTCATCCTAGAAGTGTCGGAAAGTGAAGAGCTCCCTTGTTAGTGTTTATTCATGGTGAGGAATTTCAGAAGTATTTCCACTACTAAACCTGTTAGCAGGACCTTTATTTTAATACCTTTTACTTATAAGCATCTCCAGGCACTACTCGTAATCAAGTGATATACATGGTTACATGAGTTATTTAATGATCATTACTCGCATTACTTTCCTTGAGCTATTTTTGTATCCTGTATGTTATTTTTCCCTCTTTCTTTTACAAAATCTATTGTTGATAAAATAGATAATCAAGTTTGGCTTCATTTTATTCTCATATCTATCTAGTTATAACTGAAGAACTTTCCACCATTTCATATAATAATTCTGTTATATGCGTGCTAAAATAAAATGAACATGATAATGCTGATTTTGAATGCCATCAGATTTAACCAACCTGTCAAGGTTCTGATTGTTCTGTGTTTTCATAGGCGAGACATGGGACCCGTTCGCCTACAACAAAACGTATTAAAGAGTTGGATAGGTTGGCAGCTCGTTTGGATGTTCTTTTGAATGATGCAAAAGATGAGGCAGGCCAGAACAGCTCCTCTTTGAATACACCAGCATGGCTATGGGGATGGAGATCCCCTTGGGAAGGAAAACAGAAAGGGGGAGAGCTAATTAACAAAGGGGAAGAGGAGCTGTATCTTCTAGGAAAAAGAATAAAGGAAAAGTTTGCAGCATTGTTTGATGAGGAGTATCACCCAGATGTCTTCTCAATTAGGGCAACACAGGTAAGTTATCTTACTCATCAATTTCTTCTAGTAATATTTTGGCAAGTCCTAGATCAGAAAATTTCAGTCGTCAATCTGTAATTTCAATTAGTTATCTCATACATCTGTTTGGCTTGGAATCTGTTAGTGTTACTGCATAGTTGCTGGTTTAAAGGTTGGCATATATGGTTTCATTTTCATTCAAAGTTCAAATATACAGAACCTCTCTTGCCAGTAGATTTTCAGACACAAAATTGCATTTAGGATATAGATGTCTGAGTCACAACCATCATACAACTTGTCTGTCTTCTTCATGTTACTTTGTTAACATATTTGTTCTCATCTAACCTTGGGTAGAGGAGAGGGAGGCATAGTGTCGAAAAATAACTATCAGGGGAGAATATATGTTATCAAGATAAACCTAGGGCGGGATAAATACAATTACACCAAATATTAAGAGCACACCAAAGTATCTCAGTTTTTAGAAGTATTAGCGGAGACCTCAGGCAGGATAAATACAATTTACGCCAAATATTAAGAGTTTACCAAAGCATCTTATTTTTTTTAGGAGTATCAGAGAATCACATAGCATTCTACTTTTCCCACAGTACATTGTTGGTGGTGGTTATAACGTCCAAATGTTCTTTTTTTTGTGCTGTGTGATGCAGGTTCCTCGAGCATCAGCTAGTGCTGTTGCATTTGGCATTGGACTATTTGCTGGGAAAGGAAACCTTGGACCAGGCGGGCATCGTGCCTTCTCTGTTATAAGTGAGAGTCGTGCAAGTGATATGTGCTTACGGTTCTATGATTCTTGTCAGACTTATAAAGTAAGGAATTTTTTTTATATAATGATTAATTTATTCCAAACGCTATCATTATTTGGTTAATAATGCTTTACATACATGTGCTTTTGTTTTTCCAGTAATATCTTATATTATTTACTCAACTGGAGAGTTATTTTTTTGTCAGTAAAGTTGTCTTATCACTTTGAGTTGGAGGGTCTAGATGTTCGAATTACACATGAATCAAATGACAAAATAATTGGAAGGGTATTACTCTATGTGATTATTGATGCCTCTCAGTCTACATCAGTTAAATAGATTCACAGGAATACAGGAAGATCTTGAAGCTAACGTGAAGCTTACTGGGCATATGACAACTTGTGCTTTCAATTATTACAATACATGAAGTGGATGCTAACACAATTTCTTAGTGGGACAATTGGGAAGAGTAATGGTCAGAACCAACTACTAAAACTTGATTATCTGTCTTCTAGATCACTAATGTCTCTCAATAAAAAGTGCTAGAAATGCTGTAATTCTGACATAGTTTCTACATATGTATAGATTCAATGTAATAAAGGCATGGTGTTTATGTTAAATGATAACCTACATTATTTTTATAGTGATGAAAATACTGTTTATATATATTATTCTTGTTCGTTTCACTTTTAAAAAGAATTGTTGGGCTTTTTCATGTATGTGCAGATAAAAATCAAATAAGTGGGTCAAAACTTGCTGTTTATGTTTACGAAGAGGCTGCTTTACATGAAAAGTAAACGAGTCCTTGAATAACATGCCATAGACATGCAGAATGTGCCAGTCAATTTTCAACTTTAGTTCTATTAATTGAATTGCCACTTACGGTTGTGACACAAAACGTTTCCAAGCCTTTGACCATATATTTATAGGTTGTGTGCGGCTAGGAACTAAGATGATCTATTTCATGCCACAGAGATATAAAGAAAACCAGGAGCCAGCTGTTGATAAGATTAAGGAACCCATTCTGCGTATCATTGCTGCTGAGGTCGGTAGACGCTACCAGCTAGGTTTCACTAAGCAGGATGTTGCTTCTTTATGGTTTCTCTGCAAACAGGTATAAGAAATCGTTGAACTATAGGAGTTCTGCTATCTCCAGCTTTATGATAAACATATTCTTCTTTGTTTCACCTGATTGATTGATTGATCTTTTCATATTTTAGGAAGCATCTTTGTTGGATATCACCAATCAAGCTTGTGGCCTTTTCAACGCTACGGAGGTATACAAATTTTTATGTTATGCAACTGGAGTAGTTCGTCTCTTTAACCATTTATATTACACTGTGACTTACTCCCATTAGGATTTTTTTTATAAATTTATTATTTCCTTAAGTTTCTTTACCTTGGCTAGGTTTCTTTACTTGAATGGACAGATGATTTGGAGGGTTTTCTGTTAAATGGTTATGGTAACTCGGTTAACTATCGCATGGGGATACCACTCCTCCAGGATGTAATTCAGTCAATAGAGCAAGCAATTATTGCTAAAGAAGGTACTTTGAAGCTTTTTGCTGTTAACATATGTTATTAACTTTTCACAGAGGAAATACATACAAGGAACTACCCCCCAAATCTTTCATACTTTCATCTTATCTTGATATGGTAGGTGGTCACGTAGCATATAGTTACTTCAGGTTTTTGTAATGCATACCATTATTAAGAAGTTAGCAGTGGAAGGCTGATACTGGTAGTAGACTATGTAGCACGGACACGGATCCGACACGGCCATCCGACACGTTGACACGAGGCAAATCCTAAAAAATACATAGGACACGTGTGTCCGACACGGACACGACACGACACGGCTTCATGTTATGCTTGTCCGTGCTTCATAGGTAGTAGATGCATGATTTATAAAATCTAAGCTCCTCTTTGATGTTAAACAAACTTGAATCTATCGTTAGGACTGGAGCAGACAGTTGGGTATTTTACGCCGAAACCCCTAAAACAGCAGAAACGCAGTATAGAGAAGATACACCAAGATTTAACGAAGTTCGGCAATTGCCTACGTCCTCGGGAGCCATACAGGAAATTTCTTATTAACTAACAAGAAATTACAAAGCAAGAGCAGATCTCAAACTTGAGATCTCTCAATAAATACAAATTAATACTATAACTATAGTATTAATCTCTCTCTCTCTCAAATACCCCTATTTAATTATCTCTTAAATAGAGAATATTCTCCCATAATAAATTCCCCTCAACAATCTGAGAGCTGGGAAAAATCACGAGAGGAGAAGAAGAAAAAACGCCGCTGCGTTTTTTAGTCCGCCGCCAAAAAATGGGGAGTAGCCATCGAGGGGAGGAGCTCTGGGTTTCCCTTTTATAGGAAAACCCTAGGGCCAGCTAGCGACAGGCTGTTGCTGGCCCATCCCTCCGAACTCGCCTGCGTGGGTCGCACCCCCGCTCGCCTACAATATTTCTGGGGTTTCTGAAAATGCATGATGCAGCCTGGTCTATATTGCTCTTGAATCCACTTTAAGTTTGTTGTTGACCCTGTGATTTCTTCTATCAGAGGATTTTTTTTATCTGTGTTAATTTCAGACAAAACAATGTTGGTTATTTTAGCTTTTTCTTTATGTTCGCTTGCATGTGTAAATGAATGCTTGTATGAGATTTATGATTTATTTTGGATTTTGTTCCAGCATTAAAGTACAAATTTCCTCTTTTGGTTTTGGTATCAGACATAAAACTTAAGTGCTTCAACATACAACTTTTTGTTGGT